GAAGAAAGATGTGGAGAAATTAATGAATGGGTGAAATTAATGAGGAGAAAATTAGTATTGTGTAGTAAGTGGGTATTTGTAGAGATTGTTTTTACGATTTATTGATAAATATTTTTTTTTTTAAATTTATATTTGAATTTTTTAAAAAATAGGAAATCAAAGTTTAAGTGGAAAATTTTATATTTGAATTTTTATTTATTTTTTTGTAGTTTTTTTAAGTTTTGGATTTATTTTTAAAGAAAAATTTTGAAAATTGACATTTAAAAAAAATTAGGATAAGTAGTTTAGATGAGAAATTTTGATTTTTTTTTTTTTGGTGGGGGGGGGAGGGGGGGCGGGGTTTAATTTTTTTTTTAAAAAAAAAATAAAAACTTACTAATTGTTTTAAATTAGGGTAGTTTAGTTTAGGCAAAAAAATTTATGTATTTGAATTATTATTATTATTTTTTTTTTTTGGTCTTTTAAGTTTTGAATTTTATTTTAAAGAAAAAAATTTAAATATTGAAATTTTTTAAAATTATGGTATGATAGTTTAGGGAGAAAAAATTATATTTTATTTTTTGGGGGGTTTTTAAGTTTTAATTTTTTTAAAAAAGAAAAAAAATTAATATTTTGAAATTATTTAAAATAAAAATGACACTTTAGTGAATAAAAGAGATCAAAAATAAATTTTACCTATAATTTAATTATTTATTAAATTTATTTATTAAAATTATTTTTATTTTGTACCAATTTAATCAATTATTATTCATATATTTTTATGCAATAAAATAAATTCTAAATATATATCTAAATAAAATTAAAATCAAAATTATTAACTACAATCAAAATCAAAATTAATTAATTTGTAGTGGCGGGTGAATTTAAATTTTTTGATAGGTTCAAAAAATTTCGCAACTAATTAAAATAGGTTCGGAAGTTCCGAGATTAATAAATGTTCGGAATTTTCAAGACTAATAAAGGTTCAAAAATTCTGAGACTAATTGCAATAGATTTGGAAATCCCGAGACTAATAAAGGTTCAGAATTTTCGAGACTATTATAGTTTTAGAAATTCCGAAACTAATTAGAATAGGTTTGGAAGTTTCAAGACTAAAAATCTCGGAAGTTCCGAGACTAATCAAAATAGATTCGAAATTTTCAGACTATTAAAAGTCTCGGAATTTCCAAAACTAATTGAAATAAGTTCGGAAGTTCCGAGTCTAAAAGTCCCAGAATCTCCGAGACTAATCGGTTCGTAATTTCTGAGAGTAATAAAGTCTCGGAATTTTCCAAACTAATCAAAATAGCTTCAAAAATTCTGAGACTAATAAAAAGTCTCGGAACTTTCGAACTTATTGTAAATAGATTCGGAAGTTCCGAGATGAAAAAGAATTAATTGATTTAATATTTATTATATATTTTTTTCGATAATCTCGAAATTGATTCCGAAGTTGTTTTCGAAAAATATAAACAAATTCTTGGTAGTAATTATTTATTAATATATTTATATAGTTATATACTCAATATATAATATTAGATTATTTATCTCTTTTGTATTATAATTTATTGTTAATTAGATGATTTGTAATATTAAAATTAAAAATACCCATTAATTAAAATTTAATTGTCGGAGATTCGAAAATATTAATAGAAATTTGTTGAATCATTTTCGCAAATCATTTTCCGTTATATCCCGTATATATTTTTATATTTTATTGATGTATTTAATTCTATCGACGATCACACTGTCATTTTCATGTCGTATCCATCTCTAGTACTTTGATCTCCATTGACAGAGTTCTATTTTCAATTCTAACCTGGTTGAGAGTCCTATTTTTTACTCTAACTCTATTGAGAGTGAGTGAGTCATGTTTCTGACTCTAGCTCTGTTGTGAGCGAGCGAGTCTTGCTTTCGAATCTAACTCTATTAAGAGTGAGCGAGTTCTATTTTCGACTCTAGTTCCGGTATGAACGAGCGAGTCCTATTTCCAACTCCAACGGTGTTGAGTTTTGATTCCGATTCTAATCCAGTGGACGGATACACCACTTTTAGTCAATGAAAACTTCAAGTTTGTTCGTAAAAGATATCGCCTATATTTTTTTCAGTCACTTCTGACAAATTCAAGTTTGTTCAATCATTTCTTGAGTTTGAGGAGGGTGTTAAAATATATTTAGACGTAATATATTATATTTATGGTAGATGTCTTATTTAAGAGATTCGTAGATTCTTGCCTTATTTAGACGATTTGTACATCACTATAAATATGTATGTATTTTTATGATTGGAATAGAGAATTTTAATTTCATATTTCTCATACCAATTTATTATATATGAAAATTCAAATATTCATAATATCGCGAAGGCTTGATGAAACCGGTCAAAAAATGTATAAGGAGTTGTTTGGTTCATGGACTCTTTTGGTGGGATTGAGATTTCACAGTAGGATTTATATGTGATGAAATTTATTATATTTAGGATTTGGGATCCTACCCTATATTTGGTTGGTAAAATTATGTGGGATTTATATTTTCTCAAATCTTGTTTGTTTTTTATATGAGTTGAAAATTTTGATTTTCTTATATTTTAAATGACATAATTGTCCTTGTATGAATTTTATTTATTTTAATAAATTAAACCTCTAATTTATTATTAATATAAATTGAAAATATATCAATAATTTTATAGAGATGACAATAGACTCGCGTAAACTCGAGATCCGACCCGGATCCGACCTATTTATTTGAAGTTGAGTTCAATTACTTGTGTATTAGGTCTAGGTCATGTTCGGAGTAATATATTAATAATATATAAACTATACATATGAAAAAATAATTTCTAACAATATAATTATATTTAAAATAATTTTTGAGTTTAACTTATTCATTATTTTATTATAAAATCTTTATTAATAAAATACATGCATTTTATTATAGTTTCGGATTTAAGAATTGTAAAAAAAATTGGATTTTTCGGATCCCGGTCTTACCGGCTATAGTTTCGGTCGGATCCGGTATAATCGGATCCAATTTGAGTCTCGGATCTAATATTATATATTTGAGACGAATCTCAGTTCCGACTGAACCCGACTAATTGTCATCCCTAAAGTTTTATAATTCAAATAAAATTTATAATAAATAATAATTTTAAACAATGAATTTATTAATTTATTTTAAAAAAATTGTATCATAAAAAATAAAATAAATTTAATTAAATATATAATTTAAATAATAATTAATTAAAAAATTATTTAATTTTTATTTTATATAAATATATTTATAATATATAATATTATCTTTTTATAAGATGATATAAAAGTAAAATTTAAAATTCTAAAAAATGAGATTTAAAAGCAACAAGGATACCCCTATTACAAAAAAATTATTCATTGGATTTTGGATTTTTTTTTTTTTAAGTCCCATCATTTTAAATTTCATCCTTTTATTTTTAACAAAAATGGATTTCATGGGATTTTAAAATTCAAATTCCATGGAATCCCGTTAAATTCTTGAACCAAACAACTCCTAAGAGGAAGAGAAGTTATAAAGTTGATTAAACTATTACAAGAGGGAATAGAGAAAAGCCTAACACTTCTGTTTAGTTAGAAAATTTCGTTGGATTAAATCGATTTGAGCTTTTTATTATTGTTTTTGTAGTGTATTTATTATTATTATATATTATAGTTTTAATTCTCGTTATAAATAGTTATATATATATATAAATAAAATGCCAACATACTAATTTTTTTTAAGAAAAATAAAGGGTGTGTGCGGCTGGGGAATGGGATTTTGAATTAAAAATTTGAATAATAAAAATTTTGAATTTGAATAGTTGTACGACGGTGATATGAATAGGTGTTAATATAATATTTTGATGTAAATTTATTTTTAGTATAATATAAAAAATAAAAAATAAGTGTTTGATTTGATATTATTTTTTAAAAAAAATTTGATAAATAGTAGATTTTGAAAAAAAATCCCCCAAACAAATAAATCAATTTTTCACCCCCGCCTCCATTTAAAAAAAAAAAAAAAAAAAACCTAAAATTAATAACAATCGATTTGCATATATAAATTATAAAACCAACTTTAAAACATCCTCTTAACCTTTTCAATTCAAAAGCATCCGAAACCAACCAAGTATAGAGTTTAAATTTGTTCACCGGAGATTTACTTAGTGCACACTTTCGGATAGAGACCCGAGTTTAGACGTCATTAAAAAAAACAGACTATAGTTAGAAAATTTATTGAGTTGACATGTGTTTCAGTTGGGATGACGTGTCTACCTACAAATGAAATGGGATAATATCTATAATCTTGTCATCTCCTTCAATTTTAATTTTTTTATTATTAAAGAAAATGAATTTTGAAACAAACGATCTTATCTACTACCGACACAATTAAAAAATCGAATGGCCGGATCACTTCTCTACATTTAAGGTCTCTCTCCTCTCTCCAAATGAAATGAAACTTGTATGGCATAGGTAGTATAATCATGTCATCTCAGTTAATAGTAAATTAATTTCAAAACAAACTTTCTTATCTACTGACGTAATTTGCATGACCGGATTAAAAAATAATAATAATATATTTATAACGAAATTCCGTTCAAGTTCACATAAAAATTCCTAATTCCGTCTCTAATATCATTAGAAATAAAAAAAAATAAATTTAAAAGCGAAAAAAATCTTATTACAAAATTAATTTTTTATAATATTGATATACATTAAATCAAAACTCAATTCTCCATTATTAAAATTTAGGGTTTGCTTACCTCAATTTTCTTACTCTTTAAATCCATGCATTTTTTGAAAAAAAATTACTTTTCCTCTCATTATTTTAATGTGCACAATTCAAATTAAAATTTTCTTACTTATTAAAAAAAAAACAAAAAACAAAAAATTACCCTTAATTTAAATTTAAAAAAATCCAAAACGTGACACCTTCCACTGTACACACAAAAAATTATTAAAACCCTATAATATACATACATATATATATATATATTTGAAGCATCGACAGTTGATGATGTTTCCAACAAAGTGGAACACTAACACAAAATTATTAAAACCCTAACAAGAAGCAACAAAAGTTAGAGAACAGCAAATACAACAGCAGAAACACAGCAACGCATAGATGACGAATGTCTATGTAACTCAAATCACACATACATATATATATATATATATGATCTAATCTGATCTTCAGACCCCGGCAGTGGTGGCGCCGCCTTTGGGCACCGCCGGGTCGTGGCCGTAGCCGGCCGGAGTGTCTCTATAACCCGGCCCATAGGCGCTGCTGAACATCCCGGCGTGCAGCAGCAGCACGTAGATCAGCTGCGTGAAGGCCAAGATTATCACGAACGCCTCCACCACCCTCAGCCTCCACCCTCTCCACCCACCCACGTTTATCTCCTTGCACGCCAGCCTTCATTAATAGTATTAATAAAACATTAATATATATATAATTAATTAATTAATTAGAAGATTAATTGTATGTATATATTATTATATGGACCCGAAAGCTAGGGCGGTGACGGCCCAGGCGACTATGGAGGAGGAGCAAGCGGCGGCGAGGCTGTCGTTCCGCCACGCCCTGATGTGATTCCCGCCGGCGATTTTCGACACTATTCCCAGCACCGCCGCCAGTATCGCGAACGTCAGGAACGGCCCTGTCGCGCCGTTCCCTCCCATGCCTGACATGAATCAATCGATCCAGATAGATTCATGAATTCATCATTATATATATATACATATATATCATTAATTAAGAGGTGGTTGCTTACTGGGATGACCGGTTTGGCCATTGATGAATCTATTGAGGCACCAGCTAGCGAAGCCCAGCAATATGAAATACATGATGAAGTTCAGAAACAGCAATGGAGCTGCCATATTCCTCGTCCCTGTCATCGCCATTTTCGTTAATTGATTAAGCTCGAAACACTTGATTCTTCCTCCAATGCCAGAAAGTAATAACAGACGCCGCCTAGTGTTGGAATTTCTCGCTCAACTAGATTAGATTAGATCTGATCTGATGATGATGATGAGAATCTCAATATGGTGGTCACTGTATAAAAATACACGCACATATATATAATAGTATAGATATAACAGGTTCCAAGCGTGATGATTTCGTGTCGTGGCTCTGGAGAATTGTATAAAGCGGGAGGGGGGTGGAGGGGTATTGCAAGAGGACACGTGGCAGGCGGGTAGCATCGGTGGCTTGCATGTATAGGACACGTGGCAGCTCCTGCAGGAACTTCATTCCTGCTACTATTACTTTAAAAATTGTAAGAGGATTTAGGGTAAGGCTGTGGCGTCCAGTTCTTACGGTGCGGTGCACATTCTCCGGAACTGTATGATTACTTAAGAAAGTGCTACACTGTTCCAGTTTAGATAAATTACACATATCTGGTGCAGTTGGTTTAATTTGGTTCGTAATTGCTTCGAGTGAGTTTGGCATATTCACGCCCACTTGAAATTTAAATTTTTCAATAAATGCAATTTTGTTTAAAAAAAATGCAATAGGCGCGCGATATTGCGTTGATATATAAAATTCTTAAATAAAAATAGAACTGAGTAAAATGTGTTTGTAGGCGGGTTTTAGTTTTTGAATTTAGATTTTTTATTAGTAAAAGGTCGAATTTGAATAGTTGTTTAATGCGATATAAAAAAAAAAAAAAAAGAATGATATGATATTTTGAATGTAAAAAAAAAAAATTAATTATTTGATGTGATATTTTTGAAAAAAAAATTTAAATAGTAAAAATCTGAAGTAAAATTACAGAACAATACAACCTTATTGTTTCCGACAGATATGGTGTTGATATATAAAATTCAGAATAAAAATAGAACACTGTAAAAATATTTACTGTTTGCAACCTTGCAAACAGCGACAGATTTTGCAATGCCGAAAAATTAAAAAGATGAGTTGCATATTTCAAATATGCGACCGAATATCTCAGAAATTGAGAAGAAAATAGTGATAGAAATTTATCTTCATCGACAATTTTGTAGTGAATTTTATAAGGGATCACGAATCCGTCGCTACTAGCGATGAATTGTGGGAAGGGTTCTATTTTCCTAGCAAAGAAAATTATGCCACCGCCAAAATGCCCTCAAATTTCCACGCTTCCCTTTCCCATTCCTAAAAAATGCTAAGAGCAAATGTAATGGTCGGAAGAAAAAATCTATCTATATTTCATTTTGGTCTTACTTGTCCAAGAGGAAGAAAGAAATTGATATAAAAATATATAATGACAAATAATTAATAAAGAGAGGATACGAGTGTGTGTGAGAAATTTTGGTGTGAGAAAATGAAATGGAAGACTTGGGACTGTCTTGCTGGGCATCCCATTATTTAGCTTCTATTAATGTATTATTGTATTATTATTATATAGCTTCCGACACAAAAAGTATTGTACAGTAGAGCGACGGCTTCTATTAAACCACCGTTGTCTTTGCTTAAAGCTCAATTATTGACAGCAGCGATGCAAATCTTCAATGGTTGTGACGCAAATCTTCGACAATGACATAAAATTTCAACTCGCTGGAAACAACGGTGGAGGCAAAGTTCATCTGCGATAAGTGGTGCTGATGTTGTTTCAGCCTAGCCGACCCTAAGGTTGTGTTCTTTTATAGATTTTATTATAAATTTTTACTATTTAAATTCTTTTTTTCCTAAAAAATATCTCAACAAACAATTTTTTTTTTTGTATTATAATATAAATTTATTTTACATTCAAAATATCATATCAGCCTCTATTTATATCACATCAAACAACTATTCAAATTCAACTTTTTACTATTCAAAAATTCAAACCCAAAAACTAAAATTCACGAACAAACACGCCCTTAAGACTCGAACCAAACCAACCAAACTCAATTTGATCTGACCTGATTGAAATTAAATAGGTCCAAATTCAGTCTAAACCAATCTAATCCTCTCTTTAGCTCCGATTTTTCACAATGAGAACCTACCTACTTCTCCAAAATTTATCATTTTTCTCTCGTGACAACTATGGTTGTCTTTGATGACTCCAAATATGAGCATATTCTTAGCTTGACAAAAATGTGTGTTACTTGAATTTTTGCATAAGAACCATCAAAATAATTCGTAATCGGCATACAATATTGATTTATATCACCAGGCATGACCCAGAATTCGTTGTTGAGATTATTAACGATTTTTGCCCTCTTAAGCGGTATTCTGGAGCCAGAAAAGCAAAGGCAGACGCCGCAAACGACAGCCGCCTTCGCTCGCAAGCGCCCAAGACACACCTTGAAAACACTAAGGCACGAGAGGCAAGCGGCCACCTTCATAGCCGCAAGCGATAGCCCCTCCCGCTTGCAAGCGACAGTCCAGATACCCGCCGCTGCAGACTATCACCAAACTTCAACTAAGTACTTCAAATGCAGCGGTACAGCTATTCCAATTCCAGCTAGCTCAAGCGAGCCGTGCTACGCTGATGCCCTCCTGCTCTCCAGCAAGCGAGGAAGATCTGTGCCATCAACGCAAGCGAAGCGGACACCCTGGGAGTTATGGCCAGCAACTGCTTCAACAGAATAACCACCTGCAACCGCCTAACTGCCCAGCGGTTGGAACTACCCAACAGCTTCTTGCAACCGTCCTGTTACAGCTGCTATAAATAGGGCCAGATATCTGTATGTAAAAGGATACAGGAGATCGAATTCTTGGACGATTTTTGAGAATACACACAGCGTTCATTTTCTTCCTGTTTCCGAGAGCTCCAACCCTGTAAGGGAGTTCTCCACAGGAAAGGCCAAGGGAGTGGGCGTATTCCCCCTCCCTTGGCCACGTCTTTAATGCTTTCTTAGACTAGCTTACTGCTTTCATTTACAGCTTTGTAGTCTAATCCTTTTCGCAGTTTTCATAGTATATAAAGAAATATCATTCTCTTCTTCAATTAAAATCCTTCCACAATTTTCCATACTTATATAAATCAATTTAGAGAATTTCATATCACTGGTATAGAGCGAGAGACGAATTAATTAATTAAGCCTTGTGATGCGCCAAAAGCGGTCTCAAGGTAGTTCAACGTAGTTAAGTACGCGGGAGCCTTGTCGACCTACTTAATTACTGTGCTGAATTTGATTCTGATAAAAGAGTACCAACATCAGGGGGTAAAGCCACTAATGCGGCAGAAATTGGGAAAATTAACGGGACATAGACGGGGGTCTATTAGGTCGCAGAAATTCCTAGTGACAGTAGGGTTTCTTTCTTATAATGTCTTAATTCTGGGTGTCATTGAAGTCTTGTTGTAAATCCCCCCCAGGCCAAAATACCAGTGTGATGAGTTCTTTATAATCGAGTTTATATAATTACAACATCTTTCTATCATCATTTTCGTAATATACATATATACTTCCGATAACACAATTACGTCACTCGCTCGCTGCATCCAGGGAATTCTACCCATTTCGTAACGCACAGTTCAGACACAACACCTCTTTTCCACTCTAATTCGCTCATATACATATACATATAATATGCCGCTCACTCACATCCCAATCCTATCGCTTTCGCTTCGCTCGCCTCCGTTCATCTTTTACTGCTTTATTTACCGCTTTCAGTAGTAGAAAATTTAGGCCCGCTCCAAGCGGATCCCTTTTTGTCTCTTCGTCGCTTCTCCAAGATTTTTACCTTTGAAATTCATGACTTTAAATCCCTGTGTTCGACCTGGAAACTCACCAGTAAAAAGAGTATAAATAATTGTGATAACTATCCAGGGTCTACAACCACATAATTGCTATATCTGACCATTCTTCTATAAAAACTCTACTCATTGATTTTCGAATAAAATTCCCTGCGAATTAATATACAATAACAAAATATTTTTCGGTTATCATAATTTGGCGCCGTTGCCGGGGATTTGAAACTCATGAAAAGTATCTGTTGGAAATCTTTTGAAGCGCCATAATTTACTTTTAATTTGTTGTAATCATGCTTTTTGTATTCAATTAAAATTCTTCTAACTTTAAATTTTTGTATGTGGCTGCCGTTTTGTAGGGGTCCGAAGCGTTTTCAGCGTCCCACGAGTCCTACTCCCTCCGCTCGATCACAGAGACGTCTGTTCCGAGAGCAAGTGCGAGAACAACTCATGGCGAATCAAGGAAATGCCACCGCTCCTCCTACTGTCATCCCAGCTTTCCAGACTGCCGCTGGGACATCTTCAAATTCCGCCACATCTGCATCTTCGCAGGAGGTGCCGCTCCACGTCCCCTCTGTGGTCCCTACTGTCATTCCCCCTGCACTTTCACAGACTGAGGAGCAGCTATTGAGAGCCCTCAGTAGCATTCAACAAGGAATGGCGGGGCTGCAAGCGCACCTCGCTCAGGTGGAACAAACTCAAGCTGCGCAGGGAGCATTTATTGCTTCCCAAGCGGCACAAGCTGCCACCACCGCTGCGATACCCACAACCATCATTCCCCCACCACCTACTGCTGAGCCTTACCAGAGGGCTGAGGGTCATAGGGCTGCTGATCGCCCACTTGCTGAAGTCCCCATGGATGTTCACTACCAGACCCTTCTGGATCACACTTTGATTACAAGTTCTGCGCCCAGAGGCTCTGGCCATTATGAGGTGAAACCAGCGCTCGTCAGCCTGGCGAGCCAGAGCCAATTTCATGGGCTACTCAATGAAAGCCCTTACGAACACTTACAGAACTTTAATAGGATCGCTGCCACCTCCAAATCGCACGGCATCACGGAGGACGCTGCCAAACTGATTTTGTTTCCATTTTCTTTAACAGGAGAGGCCAGGAAATGGTTTGATAACCTTTATCCGATCCCTGGCTCATTCAAGGAAGCAGCGCAGGCCTTCGTGAGCAAATACCATCCTGTATCAAAGACCATTCGCCAGAGGAATGAAATACTTACTTTCAAGATGGCGAGTGATGAGACCCTTCCAAAAGCCTGGAGCCGATTCAAACAACTACTCCGCAACTGCCCTCATCACGAAATACCGGACTTCATGGAACTTCAGATTTTCTACTCAGGAATTACTCCTGAACTCAGAATGTCCTTAGATGCAGCGGCAGGAAGCTCGCTTATGGGGCGTTGTGCCTCTGAAGCGAGGGCTT